TAGTTGGTAGGAGTTGGAATTCATGGGTTGGCCATTGAGGAGTCGGGTCCCAGTGGCTGAATGGTCTATGATTTTGACTTGTAGACGGGTGGTTGTGGCTTTCGACTCCAGTAGGTGTGTAATTCTGAAGAGTTCCAAACTAGGACAAGTCAGGTGTTCAGTACTCTTTGGCCTTCAATAGTTCTCTAACTAACATCAATACGTAATCAAACTTCTACTTTTCTGAAATTTTTACGTGAAACTTAGCTGATTACTGATTGAAGTCAACGAGTAGTACAAGATGCTTATTGAAATAATTGAAACGCATTTGACAATCATGTAATCAAGTGTTGGTTTGTAGGGATTTGATTGGTTACAGGATTTCATCACAGGCTGACATTGGTTAGAGAACCACTGGGAAACTAGCTGGGATTACTGGACAGCTGTTTCATCGTAGTGTGGGACTCTTCATCAGTACGCACTCACCACAGAGGTTCTAACCCAGGACCTCCTGCCACATGGTGAGTGAGCTCGTAGACCATTTATCAGCCACTGGGACACAGCCGATCCAATGACCAACCAGCCCATGAATTCTAACTTCTGCCAATTCACGACATAGCGCGACGACTTCGCAATGTCTACCGTGGCGAGTATTTGTCCTCACACCCAACCTGCTGCACCATTCTGGTCATGACTTCGCACTAGAACCCCAGGTACATTACACTGCAGCCAATTTTGAATTCTCTGTTTCAAATGCTGCAGCTGTAAGTAGTATCTTCAGTCATGACACATCATCGTAGTTTTCGATAGAGGCAACTTCGACTTAGCGAAGAAGAAAGTGCTTACAGCACCCATAAACTAAAAAAGGAAGAACGGGATACCTTCTCTAACTAACTTTCAGCTTCTGCAGTCTTCTCACATGTACAAAAAATTGATCAATGCGGCCAGCGCATCTTTGCAAATATATCACACCTTCCTATGGATCTGTTTTCCAAACATCTGGATATAATTTGCTACGTAATTGGTTCACAGCTTCCATTATTCCGCCAGCATACTACAGACTCATCTGATTGGTTCCTTAACATCATTTATCCGTTCATTAGGTAGCTACGTTTTGAGCTGCTATAGTTCAGAGTCACCTTTGATTCAAGCTTTGTCAACGGTATCATCTGACTTTGCCGAGGCTAAATAGAAATCATAAGACCTTTGGATTCTATCTGAGTAAGCTGTATGGCGAACATGCTTTCTGGATAAAATGAAGGTCACAGCTTCGAACTCAGTTAGGGTCACAGTTGCCTGCTGCTGAAGATTCCCAAATGATAGTGAAAAGCCTGTTCATTAACTCTTAGTTCTCAATAATTTTACACATACTGACAGTTCATAATGAAGTCTCGCTAAATATCACCTCAACTAGATGAAAATTTTAACTCTTATTGAGCCATATATACATACAAATATAATACTGTTATATTATTCAATGCAAAATCAATTATTGTTTTTAGATAAAGCAACAAGAAGACGTAATTTGTCTGAATCGAGTGTAATGTTGTATTTGCGCAACACATTTCGAACAATCTGATCACACATGGACTTGTCATAGGAATATATATGAAATTAATAAAGAATTAAGTGAGGAGAAAATAAACAAGTTAGGTCAAGTTAAAAAGACATATTCAAGGTCAAAATGACAATGAAGACCACTAAACCAAATAGCAGAAGTAATAGTACATCTGCTATGGTATCAAAACAAAATTTACCAAGGAAGGTTTAATGTGGTGACGAATTGCTTCTGATGAACGCGTAACGGTGGCTCAAACTTTCTAATTGCTAGGGCTTCCACAAACTTTAGGATACGCCCCAAACACGTCTTATAGATAGGTTTAAAAGATCTGTTAACGTCAATTTTATGTCCTGTCTCCTCTGTAATATGTTTCGCAATAGAGGAGCTAGGTCTCCTGTTCTCACCGTTAATAGGTTCTGAAGATTCCATTTGTTTCTGGAGCCATTTAGGAATATGCTTTGAAGCCAGAACTTACTTGCAGGGATCGATGAGTCCTCTCTATGTACGTGTGTCCACACGAACATTCAAATTGGTAAATACAGTGGGATGTGACGTCATTTTTCGCATGTTTAACTTGACCTGAGTAGTCTATTTTCTCACCTCTCACCTCTTTATTAATTTCATATATATTCCTATGACAAGTCCGTGTGTGATGGATCGGATTGTTCAAAATGTGTTACGCGGATAAAACATTACACGATTCAGACAAATTATGTCTTCTTATTGCTTTATCTAAATTCATAAAGGGAACTAAATGTTTTAAATTATTGTTTTATCACTACCCACGATGCGCTACTATATCACCGCTTGTATGTATTCTTATAAGTGGCAAGGAATGACTCTTTACGGAATTTTTGAGGCTACTAGAGGTAGGAGAAAGATAATGGAACATAAAATGGTTCACTTCAGAGGTGGATAATAGAAGGAGAAACTGAGTTCCATCAGAAGCACACTGTATAACGATTCGAAGACGAGTGTGGGGAAAGACAAAAGACATTTCTACGACATAATGACAACTGTAGAAGAGTAGGTTGTATGTAAAACGGACCTGAGAACGGTAAATCAGACAACCAAGTCCCTATTCTTGAAGAGGTACATACAAACGAATCCAATGAAAGATGACGAAGCAAAAATTAATTAACATAGAGGAGGAACAAACACGTAGATCTGTAGAAGGAAACCAACAGGCCTTCAGAGAAGACGCAGTGACGAAAGTACTTCAAATGAAGATAGAGAAGACAGAGGTGATGAAAATACCTAATCAACAATAACGAGCACAAATCACAGTCAAAGGGAGGAATAACATAGTTTCAGCTGTAGTCGGAGGTAGGCAAAATCGTAGAGGCAAGATAGACCTTCAATTGTCTAAAATCAATATGTAAATCTGCTGCGCTCAGCAAAAGGATCAAGATTCGAACCTTCAGCACTAATGTCAAATCATTTAGTGCCTCTAGATATTGCCCAGAGACTCGATGTAGACGCCAAGAAAAGCACTTGCACCGTTTCACCAACTCCTACCCACTTCGCTAGCTTCACGCTGAAGAACAGATGGTCGGTTTGGAAAGGATAAGCAACGAGGAACTCTGCCAGGCGACGACCCAATCCTGGAACGCATCACCCAACCAAACAATATGCAGATGGAAATCGAGATGGATTAGACATACACTGAAGACACCGTCGTGTAGAATTCGAATGGTGTAGAAATGAGTAACGCGTTGATTCAAGTTTGACATGGAGGAGATAATATGAAGAGGAAATGAGAGATCTAAAAAAACTGCAGAGTACAAAGTAAAGCGATGATGTCCTACTGATGCCCTTTGTTTCACTCGGAGCTCAAGGTAATAATAATGATATATAAATGTGACAGTGCTGCACAGCTGTTTCGTTCTGGCTTGGGACTTTTCAACAGTGTGCACCTATTGCTGAGGTTGGAACCTAAAAGCTGGAATTCATAGGCCAATAGCTGAGTGACCTGTGAGCTCGCCATGCAACCGGGAGGTCTTGAGTAAGAACTCCGGTAGATGCTCCCTTCTAAAGAGCCCTAAACTACTAGGAAGAAGCAATTGGCTCTCCAGTGATCCCAAGATTGTTCATCAACGTACACACACACACAGTATCCCCTCGACGAAAAAATCCAGGGATTACATGGTTAACATTTCTTTTACATAAAAATTCTAATTTTTACCCAGAATATGATAAAATCTTTATAAATTGGATATCTGCACTGAGTCCTGGGTTACAAGCCCTTCGTCGCAATCGGAACCCAAGCGAATAATAAAAATAATAATCATGAAGCATATGTGAGACTACTGGATAGCTGTTTTGTCCTAGTTTGAGACTCTTCAGCAACGTGAAACACTGGTGGGGGGTTCGAATCCATAAAGTTGAAATGCATGGGTTGGTCATTTGGATCCCAATCCCGGAGGCTGAATGGTCCACTAGCGCTCACCTTGTACCTGGAGGGTGTTGGGTTTGAACCCTAGCAGGCGTTTGCGTATTGCTGAAAAGTAGTAAACTAGGTTGACAGAACAGTTGTCCATTACTCCCTGTGCTGGTTTTCTAATGGTCATCGTCAACTGTGACCGCCAATCAGATCTCTCGGTCTATCGGGTCGGTTTTCGACATAGAACTTTGCACATATGTGCGGCAGTTCAAGTCGCCACACTCCATGTAGCACACAAAGTAACAGAAGAAAGTAGAAGAAATGCATAACATAGACAGTAAACAGAGGTGTGAGACAGAGGAATAGTAATAACGAAGAAGAAAGAGTGGATGCATCTGCTCCAGCCATTGAGAACGATTTGAGCCATGTCACCAATTGTTTCCAACCATTGATTTTTACCGTCCCGAGGACATCAACCAGTCAGGAAGTCTACACCTTCCTACGTGGCTTAGACTAACTGTTGTAGATTTCATTGACTGGTGCTATGATTTGGTTTGACCGCCGCTAGCTCTTTTCCAACCTGATCCTATATCAGCTAACATTGCCCGTCGGCGGGGAAGGCGATGACTAGGCATACGTAGCACATGTCTTAACCATCTCAGTCGATGTAATTTCACAGTCTCGTCGACTGATTTCCCCTCCTTACCTAGCACTCGACTGATGCCTAACCTGAATATTGCTCACCTTATATTACCACTTCACACGGGAGATAGAACGCAGGCACCTATGATCGAAGACAGCTAATCTTTTCATGTCTTCTGCTTTCAATGGCCAGGTCTCACAGCCATAAAGGAGGACGGAGCGGATTGATGAGCAGTAAACATGCCCTTTGGTCGATAGTCGGATATCGCATCTACGCCAGAGACGGCGTAAACTGGCATATGCGAAACTGTAAACAACACTTGATAGCATCACTTCATAATCAAATAAGAACCTATTCAGTGTCAAATAATAATATAACAATAATGTTAATATGTTACTAACGTTTGTTCATTTCTTCTCTTTACCCTATTTCAGGTGATCTCTTCGACCTGTTACTGCCAATGTTGGGAATATATCAAGAATATGTACGTAATCATCATTACTCCCTGCAAGTATTAGCTGAGTATAAACAACGTCCAGAGTTTACGCATATGCTTAAGCGTTTAGAAGAGAAACCGCTGTGTGAAGGCAGATCGATTGAATCATTTCTTACTTATCCAATGCATCAAGTAAGCTATATACATATATATGATGGAGAAGATTTGTACCTCAGGTGGATGATTTTGATGTGGTTGTGTTCTCTGAGCTTGATGGTTTATTTGTGAAGCTTTCATTGACCTAATGGGCAACATCTTTAACGCATACTTCAATTCGAATTGAAGTGAGCTTTTAGATTTCTCCACGAGTTTATTGGTCATCTCTCCTGGTGGGCCACCTTGAACGTGATTGGTTGTTTCTGTGTGTTTTCACACCTTCTAGGATAGTTGTATTGTAACTCATTGTTTCTTTGACTTGAACTTTGATTCTTTGTGTGTGAGGTTTCTTTCTTATCGGTTGATAAATTTTGTCTATCTCGATGTGTCTATTGATTGACGATTCACTGGAATACCAGGCAGGCTTCTAAAAATTTTTCTAGCATTCTTGGTGTTTACTCTGGCTAATATTTGAACGTTTTTTCAGTCGAATTGATGTCCGTGGTTGTCTGTATGAACTGTGGTGATATGAGGGTGTGGATGTCATGTGGACGTCCCCTTCGTCTTCGTATCCATGATCACAAGCTGGCCATTTAAAAGACATGACATCCACTCCCTCATATCGCCTCACTGCATACAGACAACCTCAGACATCAATTCGACTGAGAAAACGTTCAAATATTAGCCAGAGTAAACACCAAGAATACTAGAGAATTTTTAGAAGCCTGCCTGGTATTCCAGTGAATCATCAATCAATAGACACATCGACATAGACAAAATTTACCAACCGATAAGAAGGAAACCTCACACACACAAAGGGTCAAATTTCAAGTCAAAGAAACAATCAGTTCCAATACAAGTAGCCTAGAAGGTGTGAAAACACACAAAAGCAACCAATCACGTTCAAGGTGACCCACCAGGAGAGATGACTAATAAACTCGTGGAGAAATCTGAAAGCTCATTTCAATTTGAATTGAAGTATGCGCTGAAGATGTTGCCCAGTAGTGTAATGAAAGCTTCGCAAATAAACCATCCAGCTCAGAGAACGCAACTATATATATATATATAAATATTACGTAATCACGCAGCTAATTTGAACACTTTTTTACTGTTATAATGGTTACTAGGATTTCACCAATGTCATGTTTCTGGTGCTTGGCGTTTTTCCAGACTGGATTCTCTCAGTCAAATATGATCACCGGTCTAGGTGGCTAGTGACTGGAGTGAACTATAAATTATTGTTAGATAGTTGGACGCAGTCGGTAGGAAGCCGTGGACCCAAACTTCGTGCTTGTTTGTACTCGTCAGCAAGATGTGAGTTTCGAACTGGTATCCCCCAGTGCTGCAGTTAGAGACCTTATTATTATTCTCTTGGGTTTTGAGTGGAGTAAAGGACTTCGAAAGAACATCACTTCACTTTGCAGTCCTCTTCAGATGGCAATACGATTGCCTATAAACTACCAATCTCCTCAACATCACACGATCTCCTCCATGTCACCTTCGGAAAATCTCCTCATTGTGTGTTCGACCCATCTCAATTATCTTTGGAATATTTGGTTGGTTCGTTCCCATAGTTCCTTGGTCACAAGTCTTTCTCATCAACGACCTGATTTTCAGTGTGGAGCCGGCGAAGTAAAAAATTCCACAATGAAACGATCGAAGACGAAGACTTGGGGCAGGAATGTTTATTTGCAATTTGGTATCTCTATATAGCCAATTATGTACAACTTATCTTCAACGTACAAATTGCACAAATCTTCGTGTTGTGGTACTTCTGGACTTTATGTTGTGTTTCTTTGTGATCCTTTCACGTGTCCTATGTGTCTCAACCAGGCTGTATCATTTTCCTTCTCTGAAATTAAATTTATCTTCCTGTTACTTGATTTTTTTATGCCGATGAACGTTTCTCTATATACTACTGGTAAATCTTTTCAGTAACAATCGCCAAAACAATAGACTGTTGGAAAGGCTTTACTCGACACAAATGCCAAGTTTCTAACCCATAAAGAAGAACTAACTGATCTGGCACTGATGTTGAAAATCTGAATTTTGTTCTTCATGCTGAGTGAGTACAGAAGATTTCCAAACTGATTTCAGAGTGTTGAACGTCTGCTTTGGCTTTCCGATTCTGATTTCGACATCCTCATCCGTACCACCTGCCTGTAATTGAAACGATGGTACCTAGATAAGTGAAAGAAGTGGTGTCTTTCAAATTTCTCCCTTTGATGGTGACTGTTGCTTCCTTTTCTTGGTTGGTTATTTTCATCACCTCCATCTTCCAGATGTTCAACTGAAGTCCAGTATTCTCTGACTGCTTATTATGCCAGTTTGTTGGTTTCCGACCGTAGGTCTTCGAGTTTATGTGACATGAGAGACAGAAATCATCCACAGTGAAATCAAGATCTTCCGGTTGCTTCGTAGTGATCTAAGATATTCCTCTCTTCTCACTCCCCACATATGATCTTCCGCATGACCCAGACTACCACTGTTAGGAAACCATTGGTTATATTAGGCAGAGACGTTATCAATAAGGTGTTCGGACTTGAGATTGACCTCTTGCAGGACTGTAAATGACACTTTGAAGACTTACTGTTTATCCTGTGGATATTCTGTGGAATATCCTTTCTCTCTAGAGCCTTCTCATCGTCAGTCTAGATATTGATTTCAGAGGAAGTAAAGCTGGCACAAGATGGTATATACCATTAACTGTTAGCAATGGTGGGATACGACTCTAAACCTCCAGTACTCAGATGTTTGCCAAAATCTAGTGATTACCTGTTCCTCTCTTGATGGGCGATTGATAAAATAAAACAAAGTTTAGGAGCTCTGACCTCTCACCTTCTGGAATGAAAGAAACATCTTCCCCTGGAGCATTTGTGGCTTCCTCTCCATTAGAGCGTCAGAAGCTATGGCACACTTGAGAAAAACATTTTGTTCGAGACAGGAGAGTTTAGTGTCAGCTCGTGCTAGTTAAGCACATGGTTCAAATCTCATTGGTTGTGAAACTAGCGTAGCGCCATCTTAGACTCTGAACACTGGTGAGTTTTTCGCAGGCAGATGCTGATTAAGAACGGTGTCTGCGGTGACTTTTTGAGGATTGCCATTGTGTGGGTTACTGGATAAAAAACCAGCTTTATGTCCAATATTCCTTCTGTCTTGGAATCGGTGTTGCCTAAACGAACAGGATTTGATGAAATTCTGAGCACCACAATGCCCGTAAGAGGATGGAGGTTTCACCTCTGGATGTCCATTAGTATTGCATGAGTAACTAGGACGATGGACATTTGAAGTAGAACCAGGGGGTATGGGGCAAGTAGCTGATGTAAAGATTTTGATGGGTCTGGCGAACTGCACTGATTTCAGAATCACCCTGGTGTCTAGTGTGATTTAAACTCGTTGTTCCAGAATTTCGTGCAACCATTTCGAAGGAAAAAATGCAGGAATTTTAAATAGGGAAGATGTTGGACATACTATAGAATTCCCAAAAGCTTGATACTTGAATCGATTAACATTTAACAGACATGCTGATTTGCATCTAAAATTTATTCATGAATAAAATAAAAGTCACAGGGCAAAATAGTTCAACTATCAGGTCATCGAAACGATCATTCCCAATGCAGGTGACCGCAGGGATAAGAAAATTCGATATTTTGAAAAATTGTCATAACAAATAGGCGAAAAATGAGGCCGAATAGTGCAAGATAGAAAGTTGTTTGAACGCATTTTTAGGGTTATAAGCAATAAACTGTTATCGAAATGTTATCCAGGCATTAATGCTGTAACATTTTTTCGAGAACCATATACTACTGACCGGCTGAGATGAGTAGTAGATGTATACCACACTCATATCAATCAGTAGTGCTTGACAGCTAGGCAGGTGGACGTTAACTCAACGCAGGACGGCAGTTTTTTTTCGTTTGAGGCTAAGGTCCTCATCAGTAAGCGAGCAATTTTCAATTTGCACAGTTCAAGAGATCGGGTGGTTCCAACTGATTCGACTCTATGAGCTGAGCAGAACTGCGTACACCGCTGTTGGTGAGCTCAGCCCTTAACTAAAGACACAGCGATCCGGTGTTTAGACCACCTCGATTTGGCGGGTTGGCAAGCACTGCTGGTTGATATGAGTTGTGTGCAACTACTACTTATCCGTCCCCTTCAATCAGTAGTATATGGATAGTTTTATGAAAGTTTGCTTGCTTTCTTATCATTACTACTTATCGTATCAAGCTGATCACATACACTGGGATCGCAATAACTTGGTTTTCAAAGGAAACTACAGTGAGATCTCACCAATTGAACTGTATATAAATTGCAAATTTTGAATTCCCTCTATGTATCACTTCTAGTTATAACAAATAAACTTTTCTAATATGGAAGTGTATTCTACAACAGTGCCCAAACCTCTTGTTTTCACATTAAGGAGACCTCTTTTAGGGATTGATGACAGTCTTAACAGCTCATCGTAAGAGAGGGTCATTTCACTCTAGAAGAATTTCAAAAGCTTAATTACTTCATTGTGAATTTAGCGCTGAAGATATTTCCTAGATAGGTAGTCAGACTTTCACAGTCAAAACGTATTATTATTCCATTCGGTTCCGAGTGGGACATAGGAGGGCTTTAACAATATATCTTCAGTTTATTCTATTTCCTGCTGTCCTATTCAGCAGGCCAGCTTCACGATTGCCCATAACTTGTCATCTCTTCCTCCTACTCTTCGCCACACGATCTCCTCCATGTCATCCTTACACCGACGACTCGCTCGTCGCTCCGTATTTGGGTTCCACTCGAGCAATGGCCTGCATTGTGCGCGATAAAATTCGACAGCCTCCTCAGCGTATTCATAGTGTATCTCAATTTTTTCTAAATATTCGTTGAGCTATCAGCTCTTGGTTAGTTTGTTGTTACTAATTCTTTCTGGCCAGCTGGCCGGGTGGCCATTTGATCTTCAGTATGAAGCAAGCCAGTGAAGTGGGCAGCTGTTGATAGAAGTCTGTAACAGGCTGTTGGAAATCCTTTTTGTGACACAGGCGCAGCGCAAGAAGGGACTGGTTGGCTTCATATTGTTGTTAAAAATCCGAATACTGTTCTTTATGCTGCTGAGTGAGGCGGAGTGCAGAAGATTTCCAAACTGTTTTAAGGTTGATGAAGGCGTATCTCCCCTTTCCGATTCTGGCTGGCTGACTTTGACATCTTCATCCATTCCAACTGCCTGTAGTTAAAACCACGCTTCCTGAAGGAAAAGTAAACTCTTTCAAATCTCTCCCGCTGATAATGATCTGTGCTGGTTGTTATTAGTGCATAAGTATCTTCACCAGCTCCGTCTTCTCTATATTCACATGGAGTCCTGTTTTCGCTGCAGTGCTTCTTCAGCCATTTTGTAGGTGTTCACCTGCAAGTCTTCGAGTTTATTTTTGATTGCACACTAGTCAGTAGCTAGTGTAATGCGTCTAGTCCTATCTTCGGTGCAGACTGAATTCAATCAGTCATGCTTGCAATGTGGCCACCATGCTAGGTGGCTCGCCATTACGGTGCACTGTGAATTGTTGGTATTAGATGGTTGGAGGCAGTCGGCAGGAAGCCTTGGACCTAGGTTTCATGCTAGTTGGCACTCATCAGCAAGGCGTATCCGCAACCTTGAAGGAACTCATGTCCCTTCTGAGATTCGAACTCGCGTCACCCAGTGCTGCAGTCACAGACGTTACCACTGAGCTATTCGGGCTCGCGATTGACCTCCTGTAGGACTGTGGTGGATTTTGATTTGACACTAGTAACTAGTGTGATGCGTCTAGTCCTCTCTTTGGTGCTGACTGAATTCTATCAGTCAGGTTGTAATGTGGCCACCATTCTAGGTAGCTCGCCAACTAGCACGAAACCTAGATCCAAGGCTTCCTGTCGATTGCCTTCAACTATCTAATATCATCAAATCAATGTACACCGTGATGGCGAGCTACCTAGAATGACGGCCACATTGCGAATCCGAACGATGGAATTCAGTCTGCACCAAAGAAAGGACTAGACACATCACACTAGTTACTGACTAGTGTCCAATCAAAGTATCCACTACAGTCCTATAGAAGGCCAGTCGCGAGCCCGAATGGCTCAGTGGTAGTATCTCTGACTGCAGTACTCACTGGGTGATGCGGGGTTCGAACCTCAGAAAGGACATGAGTTCCTTCAAGGGTGCAGATACGCTTTGCCGATGACTATCAACTGAAGTATGTTATTTTTCTTCATTGTGTTTATAGCCACTGTAATTTCAGTAATTGGTGTGCAGCTGATGAGAGAGAATCTGTGAAATAGAATGATGATATCATTATTTTATACTGTAAATCTGGTCATTCGTTTTTATCGAAATTTATCAAAAGAACTGGCTCTATGAATTGGTTATTTCATCCCAGAAGAATTTTAAAACACGAATTAGTTCATTTCGAATTTAGCACTGACGTTGTTGTCTAGATTGATACTGAAACTTCCTTGATTAAACTATGTATATATATACATATTCTTCCCCTGAGTTCCGGGGGGGGAACACAAGGCTTCAACAGCATGTCTCCAATTTATTCCATTATCTGTGGTCCTCTTTAGCAGGCCTCACGACTGCTTATAGCCTCTGGTCTCCTGCATGTCACTCTAAGACCAATGCACAACTCATCGTTGCTTATTCGGGTTCCACTCGACTGGCCATCTGATCTCCAGAATCATCAAGTGGAGGCAGCTGTTGATTAAAATCTTCAGTAACCTGATGTCAATTCTTTTCTTGACGCGCATATCAAGTTTCTGACCCATGCAGAAGAACTGACTGACTTAACATTGGTGTTGAAATTCTGAATTTTACCGTTTATACTGCCTATGTGCGGAAAATTTCTACATTGATTTTAGAGTGATGAAGGCGTGCGTTGCCTTTTCAATTCTGGTTTTGACATCTTCATCAGTGGAGTCGACTGTAGCTGAAACAATGGTGCCTAGATTAGTGAAGGGAGTGACCTCTTTCAAATGTTTACGTTCACGGTGACTGGAGGTTGTTGGTTGGTTATTTTCATCACCTCTGTCTTCTCTATGTTCACTTGAAGTCCTGTCTCGTCTGCCAGTCTCTTCTGCCAGTTTGTTGGTTTTCGCCTGTCAGTCTTCGAGTCTATGTGACAGTAGAGACAGATCGTCCACCTAGAAATCCAGATCTTCCAGAATCTTCATATCTGCCCAACGTCCTCCTGTCTTATCTCTCCCCAAGAGCGGTCTTACACATAATCCAGTCCACCACAATCGATGATAGTAGCAGGAAGCCTTGTCTTACTCCTGTCTGACACGTGCCACTGTCACACAGTCAGCTGTTGAATGAGGTTGAAAAAGATTTGGGGCGCTGGAATCCATAGTTTTGAAGTAATTTGGAAATTACTTCAAGGTCGACGCTGTCGAAGAGCTTTTCAGAGTTGACGATGTTGCTATTCTGTACTTTGTTCGACGATAATGATGCGTAGAGTTACTATTTGATGCGCATATGATATATGTGTATAGTTCTTCTATATTATTACCATTATTGTTTTTCCCTTATTCAGATTCCGCGTTACATTATCACACTGCATGAACTCCTTGCACATACACCTTATGATCATGTTGACAGAAAAAAGTTGGAGTTTGCTACCTCAAAACTTGAACAAATTTCACATGTGAGTAAAAGTTCTATTTGCATAATTATTAATGTTGTAACCTTATTAAGAGTAGAAAATTTATGATATATATATAGTTAAGAATAGAGTCTTCAAACGCATTTACTGATGGGCGTACCAAAATGAATGTAGGACTTTGCACAAAATTACAGCAGTTGAAATTGTCTCAAGGACGACAACCAAGCAGCTGACACTTCCCTTTTAACAACAGAAGACAAGGGGCAGGCAACAGATCGTTTATTAAGGAAAATCAACACATATTTATAGATTTTCATGAACATTATTGTAGATTATTGTTAGTAGAAAATACAGTCTTTTGATTGGATGTTTCTCACAGAAAGTTAACCTTGAATCTCCTTGTGGCTGTGTCAGATCATCCATATGCTAACTGTATCCGCCTACGCAAAGCCTTTGTTCTCATTTTCTCACCACTAATATTGGGGACGTAAACATTGACGTCAATTACTGTCTACTAACTTTGGCTAGCAGCCAGCTCTCACTAAGCCCTTAGTTTCTGACTCAAACAGGAAGTCACTTCTCCAGCCTGATCCTATGTCAGTTAACAGTGTTTGTCGAGGAAGGTGGTGGCTTGACATTAGTAACATGTGTCCTAACCATCTCAATCGATGTAACTTCAGAGCCTCATAGAAATTCTTTTAGTGCTTGCGTAGCGCCATACATCCAACCTCAATATTATTCACTAGATTATACCGGTTTAAAGGAGAGATAGAACACGTCCATATCTCAGAACTACAAAAAGTTTTTTTCACATTTTTTCCTTCACGTTCCCAGTGGAACATGAGGCTTCAAACTAGAGGCTTGAAGTTTCTGTAGCAGAGGTGATTATTTTTACAGGATGGGGTTGATAGCCTCATGCCCAACCTTTCCTCTTTACCAGCTTTTATTTCTGGCTAAGCGAGTTAAAGGAGTGCGTTGGTCGGTGATCGAACCCCGGACCATGTGCATGGTCGGCGAGCATCCTAATCGGTGTGCCACCGACGCACCTGAACTATAAAAATGGACAGAGAGAATTGATGCGCAGTTTTATAATGATTATTCCCTTTGGTTCCGAGTGGAACATACGGCTTCAACAGAACCTCTCCACTTCATCCTGTTTTCTGCAGTCCTCTTCATTTGGCCCCGAAACTGCTTGAAATATTTCATCTCCCCCCAACCTGTCACACGATCTCCTCCATTTCACCCTCTGGCTGGCACCAAACTCGTCGTTTCCCATTTGGGTTCCACTCGAGTGACTGCCTGCCGCAAGGGTTTCATTCGACCGTCTCCTCAGTGTCTGTCTCATCCATCCCCATTTTCTTCGAGATATTCCCTTCAGACATTTGCATATCATATTCTTGACTTGATTCTTATTACTATTTGTCTATTTTTGATGCTTCTGTTCGTGGTTATGCAGTGGCATTGATAGTATGTTGTTTTACGACTGAAATTTTGTTTGAATGAATCAAGTTTATTCTGAACTTAGAGTGTCTTCGGAAATTGTTGGTGTGTGATTCCCCTGGACAGAGTTTCAGAACCTATTTTGTTGGAAATATTCTACTTCATTCTAAGGTACTTCTCACAGTTGAATTTCGGTTAGCTGATTTTATTCTACACTACTTGTTTTGTACTTAGAAACCTACATTGCCTGTATTATAGCTGTCTAATGGCAATTTTGAGGTAGTTTTGAGTTTTTGACATAATTATTTGATGAATAGAACCACAGATAGACGCAAGGAAGAATACATGGAGGATTTCATCACGAGCAGGCAGTTAACCTGGGGTTCTAGTGAGAAGCCATGACCAGTAGGGTACAGCGGGTCGAAGATGAGGCTGTAACTCATCGAGGAAGACATTCCAAAATGGTCGCGCCATGTCGGGAATTGGCAGAAGTTAGAATTCAAGGACCATTGGATCGGGTCCCAGTGGCTGATGAATGGTCTACGAGCTCACTCGCCTTGTAGCCAGAAGGTCCTGGGTTCGAACCCTTGTGGTGGGCACGTACTGATGAAGAGTCCCAAACTAGAACGAAACAGCTGTCCAATACTCCCAGCTGGTTTTCAAATGGTTCTCTAACCAATGTCAGCTCATGATGAAATCCTCCATGCAATCAAACAAAATCCCTACAAATCCAATACTCAAGGAAGAATAATTGTCTTTTTGCTGACTTTGGAGCATTTTGTGACTGTACGCTAGTCTCAAGGAAGTTTCAGACAACTGTTATACACTAGGACTCAAAGATTGGTTCTCAATGTGTTTAGACCACAAGAAGTCGGGCGTAGTCGCTACACTATTTAACTGCATTATGTCCAGGAAAAATAGGAATTTATGTGTTACTTTACAAGGGTCTGACCGGTGATTACAGGATTTCATCATGTGCTGACATCGGTCACAACTGGGCTTAAATCCAGGACCTTCCGGTTACAAGGCCAGCGCTTAGACCATTACGCCACTCGGGTCCGATGAAATGGCCAGCTCATGAATTCCAAATTCTGCCAATTCACAATACAGAGCTTGTGGCACTAGCCAGTGACATCCGTGGAGAGGGTCTCTCCTGACACTCAACCTGCTGTATTCTCACTTCTCAATTCTACGAGTTCGCCTTGCCACCAGAAGGTCCTGGGTTCGAACCCCTATGGTGGATGCATAGTGCTAAAGAATCCAAAGAGACTAAGACCTATATCAGCTCATGATAAAATCCTGCAACCAAAAATGGGAATTGTTACATATAATTTTCAACGCTTTATATATTTAATTGGACTGAAGTGCTCGGTCTCAGGTTGACATGTCGGCTTCTTGTGCAGATGCTTCGACGATGTCTGGGCATGCAATTAAAAGTTAATTGGTGGATGGTGACTAGCAGTGGGATCCAGGATGCTCATTTCGTCCCAGCTAATCGATCCTATTGGTTCAATCAATCGACGGGAAAATCTAAAATTGAATTAGATAATTAATGAGACCCGTTACACAAAAGGTGGAGTGGCTTCCGTGGCCCAAGTGGTCTAGTGGATAACGCTATGGAGTTTGAAACTATGGGCACTGGGTTCGAGCCTCGGTACATCCAGATGACGAGTCCCAAATAGGACGAAATGCGCATCCTGGCTTGATTCCACTGCTAGTCACCATCCAACAATTAGCTTGATGTATATTTGTCTCAACAAAATCACATAAAATCAAGGCTCTTAAGCCAGAACACTTTTCAGAATATAATTCTATTGTCATATTCATAAGTCAGCTTTTTGTTTACGCCTACACAGACGACTTTTAATTGTCTGGAGACATTATTGATTAGCTGTCTAGTAGTAGTAGTAGTAGTAGTACCGATCTAGACACTAGGCGTCATCTTCGTTTGTTGTTCTAGGAATGATGCTTATCATCAGTATTTGTATTGCCTGGAATTACATCACTTTTCTATTTCTTTACTTCACTTAAACAAAAGTAAGCCCGGTAAAAACAAACTACTCTCATTCATTATTTGTACTTTTCATCAAAAAAAAAATTGTCACAAATGATTACCTGTTAAGATAAACGGTTGTGAATAGGCGTCAGGTGTTAATAGGTAGGTAGATAGACAGGTAGACAGACAGACAGACAGACAGACAGAGTTGTAGGCTTCTAGGACAGTAGTGTTGATTGTACGAGTGGCTAAAGTTAAAAAGCGAAATGGTTTCCTGATAATAACCAGGCAACTCAAATATTCATGGAGTATAAAATTCGTCCATAGTTAATCTTGAAGTCGTATTATTATCATTATTATTGTTCCCTTGGGTTCCTAGTGGAACATAGGGCTTCAACTGCACGTCTCCACTTGCTTCTGTCTTCTGCTGTACTTTTCACCTGCATCCATGTTAGTCCATACTGTTTCAACTCCTCTTCACACGATCCATCTCCACTTTCTCCTGCATATTTGTTGAACGATTGGTTCTTGTTTTGTTTGTTTGTTCCCATAGTTTCTTGTTGGTGATTCTTTCCGGCCATCTGATCTTCAGTATAGAGCGAAGAAGACAGTTGTTGATAAAGGTCTGCAACAGGCTGTTGGAAATATTCTTTGTGACCCGCCAAGTATAGAAGAACTGACTGACTTGACGTTTGTATTGAAAATCAGAATTTTGTTGTTGATGCTGAGCTGAGTTACGAAGATTTCCAGATTGATTTCAGGTTGATGAATATGTTTCTCGCCTTCCCGATTCTCGATTTGACATCTTCCTCCGTCCGTTTCTCCTGTAGTTGAGACAATTCTCCCTAGATAAGTGAATGAAGTCACCTCTTTCAAATCCCTCCCGTTGATGGTGATTGGCGCTGGATGTTGCTGCTGCTGTTGTTGTTGGTTGGTTGATCATTTTCATAACCTCCATCTTGTCCATGTTCACCTGGAGTCCTGTCTTCTCTGGCTGCTTCTTCGACCAGTTTGTCGGTTTTCGTTTGTAAATCTTCAATTTTGTGTGACTTCAACCACTAATCATCCGCGAAATCCTGGTCTTCTAGGTTCTTCAAGTCGGTCAGGACAGGATATCCCTGTCTTCTCGCTTCCCATTGTCTGACGCATAATCCAGTCCACCACAATTAGGAATATGATTGGTGATAATAAGCACGCTTGTCTGACTCCTGTGTTTACTCCAAACGCCTCGCTGAGATTTCCGTTGTGGATCACTTGACATGTGCCGTTGTCGTACAGCTGTTGAATAAGGTTGATGAATATTTGGGTTACACCGTAGTACTCGAGTAGTTTCCAAATTACTTCGTGGTCAACGCTGTCTGTTGAAGGCCTTCTCAAAGTCTATAAAGTTGAGGTAGAGGTTTTATTGCCATTCCATGCTTTGTTCGATGATGATGCGTAGAGTTGCAATTTGGTCAGAACATGATTTGCCTTTCCTGAATCCAGCTTGTTCTGGTCGGAATTCTGTATCCAGTGAGTCCTTTGAAGTCGTATTATACTAAGTACTTATTAACTTTTTGGTTTAGTTGTGTTCTCTGGGGAGTTGGTCGATTTAATTGCGAAGCTT